GTTTGGGGCTTTGAGCTGAATTGAGTTGGGAACTGCTTCTCGCCATGTGTGACGTCATAGAGTCAGTCATTGGGTGGAGTGTCCCTAGCACACCACCCCATGTGACCCCTATGGCCGGGATGACCTTCCTGTAGGAAGGAGGACCGCTGCACAAGCAAGCAGCTCCCCACAGCAGAGCGCCATGGGAAAGGCGGCCACTGCTTCAGAAAGGAAGGAGCGCCCCCACCCACACTCCCTGCGGCAGCCCAGGCGAGCCCGAGAGGGTAGGAGCCCACCCCCCCACCACCGGGGCGGGCCTGCAACCAGAGGGCTCTCCCAGGGCGATAGAGCCTGTATCTAGTGACAAACTACAAGAAACAAAACCCAAAGCTTAACGTCAGGTCTGCAGGGCAGCCTTAAAACAAGCCAAAGTCTCTTCTCCTAGTGAATCTGGCATTGCTTGGGATAGGGAGCAGGCAGGGGCCCCGGTTCGGGGCGGATTTCGCCAGGGAGGAGTGCTGACTCCCACATCTGAGACAGGCTCGGGCCTTTGTCAGCCCGCCCTCTCTTCCTGTCCTCACTACCCACGGAGTCTCCCCCGCCCCCTCACGCTGTGACCTGTGAGAAAACCAAGGCACGGGAAGGTCGGTGACTTGCCCAAGACCACCCAGCGGGTGAGTGACGTTGCTGACCACACTGCTCTGTCAGGCCTCGTCTCAGCTGCTCTGACTAGGGAGCGAGCCTGTGAGCTGGTTCATCACAGGACCACCAGGATGTCACTGGCAGAAGCTCCATGGTAGAGGAGAGGGTCAGTGAAGATGACTGACTTGCTAACGTTGACCAATCACCATCCAGGTTTTAGGTGCAGCCTCCAACGGGCACCGACTGATAAGGATCTCTCATTCCTGGGCTCATGCCCCTTTGCAAAAGGCCCGTTCACCAACATTCCCCTTTATGCCACTCCTCTGAGATGGGAAAAGCATCCCCACGGAGGTCCCACCTCCTCTGGCCATGTGTGTGGCCGCAGGAGTGAGCAGGAAATCAGGGTACACTTCAGTGTGTGCAGCACGAGTGCAACGGCTGGAGGATGCCCGTGGAGCTGTTCTCTGGATGGGCATCTCCTGCCACGCTCTACCCTCTGCTCTGGCCCCTCCTGCCTGTGTCCCATCCTGCCTGTCCCGGGCTCTGCCTGTGTCATGCCTGTGTTTAGAGAGAAGCTCGAGTGCACTTCTTCCTTCACTCCTGCCGTGCACGCCCCTCTGGGCCCACCCCACACTGGGCGCCCTGATGATCTGCATGGCACTTGCTGCAATCGGAAACGGACTTCTGTGGCCTCTCTCCAGGAGGGCGGGGCCTTGGCTTGTTTCTCACCATTGTGCTCCCAGGGCCGCCAATGGGCTCGGCACACAGCAGGCTGTCCGCACTCTTTGTGGAATGCATGTATCCACGAGTGAAGGCCCCGTTAAGGATGAGCCTCTTCACTTTTCCCTCCTTACAGCTGCTCCCCAGCCAGAGCCTTCCCTCTATAGCGAAACATCACTCTCCACTTGGAGCCCCGGGTGAACCCCTTCAGGCCTGCGTCCCATATTTATGGGGTAAGGCTGGGGTTAGAGGGCAGGCAGCTGCCTCCTTGCAGGGCTGTTCTGGTAACGCTGACCCCATATTCCCTTCTCTGCCTCGGCTTCCACAGAGGGTCCTTTCCCACCAGCTCAATTTTGAAAGCCCTTCCTCCTTGAGCTGGTGACTCGTGCTGCTCCAAACAGCCACGTGGCCCGAACAGGGCTTCCGCTTCAGACTTCATCCCAAAGGCCGAGCTCCTCAGACAGTGACCCTGGGTTTCAGCCTAGAAGCTGGGAGTGGCCTCTCTGTTGGGATAATTCCCGAGTGGACAGGCTCGAAGCCCCATGAGAGTCTCACTCACCGAGGAGGCTGTGAATCCCACGTGATCACAGGCCTCTTTCTTAGAAAGGGCCGGTTAGGAATGAAGAGGGTCTTGGATCCCGGTGGACAGCTAGCTATGGCTGACCTGTTCCAGTTTCTTTGGATTTCCTGGCTTAGTTTTTCATTCTCCCTACTGTTAGTTTTTTTTGGAAATCTCGGGCTGTGTCAGAGGTACCAGGCCTGTGCAGCGGGGCCGTGTACTGTGGGACGGCGTCCCCCAAGGGCCGGGAAGGGACTCTGAGAGAGGCTCGGGACTCAGAACTGAGTACAGATCCAGGCCCTCGCTCCACACGGTGTCTGTCTGCTCAAGTCCCGCGACCGGCATTTGTTTGAGCACATGCACAGTGCTGCTGGCTTCTAGAAAAAAACCCGCCCAGCTGCCCTGCCTCCCTTCCCGCCTGCGCTCGTGAGGACTGGCCCAGGAACCCTATCCCGGGGCACGGCTGCACCTCTCCTTCCGCTCAAACTGCATCCTACAGAAAAGGCCCAACCAAAGCCTCTTGAGGACTTGGTCTTTCTTCCCAGAACTTCCCTGACCAACCCAGAGACTGCTACCCTTTGCTCTCAGCGTGCTTTCCATGGCTGCGTCAAGACTGCCCTGTGGACGGCACCCTATGCTTCTCCACCGTGCTCATGCCACCCAGCGTAAGCCTTGTGCTCAATAAACGATGCTGGTGACCGCACGGAGGGCGGAATACACGCACAACAGGAAAAATGAACAAATGGCTTTCTTCCCGGATGAATGTGCAACAAGTCCCCGGAGACGCTGTGCGTGGCAGGCTCGCCACCCCGTCTCCGGTGCACGGAAGTGTTGATGGAAGAGGGAACCGCGGGCTCTGACTCAGGACTCAGCTCCCACAGGCTCCTGCCGGCCTTGGCCAGGCCTAGGGCAACGGAGGCTTGGGCTTGCGGTCATATATCTGCAAGCTATCAAGCTTCTGGAAAATAATGGCAGCAATTTGGGAAATGTTGAGCACAGTGTACATGGACAGTATATTCTTCCTATCTATCATCTATCCACCCACCCGCTACAGTAGTCTCTGAAGTGTCTTGGGTCATTTGTCAGCCACACAGTGTTTCTCATGGTGTTTTCCTTCCTGAGAGCATATCCGGGAAAGGACAGGCCGGACCTCAGCTGACCTGCCTGCTAGTGGGCGCTGCTCTGATGCCAGTTACAGAGCAGAACGCGTCTGGTGCCGAGTGTCAGGAGCCGGTGTGCGTCCCAGTTGGCTGACCTTGGGCAAGTCACGTCCTCCCTGCAGATGGTTTCCCCAGCGGCTACGTGAGGGGTTCTGCCCCAATTTTCCTCCCCTCGCCTCCCAAAGATCCCTCTGAAACTCAAGTTTGCTTTCCCCGAGGTCTAGATTGCTACCGCAGGCAGCCGCCGGGTGGCCCACAGCCCGCTGCGAGCAACAGCGAGAGGCAGAGGGATGAGGGGCAGGTTTTCCTAAAGATGAGAAGTCTTCGAGGATTTTGTCAAGTTCCCTGGTCTCTCAGAAGCCCTGGAGCTCCCGGACTCACCCAACTGGGGGTGAGAATCTCTCTGGGCCTGAGAACAGTGGAGGCAGGGGATGGGGACCACTGCTGTCCTCATCGGTTATTCAGAAATGGGGTTTCTCCTGCCACAGGCTTTCCTCGGGCTTCCGGGGCCTCACAAGGCTGCTGGCTACAGAGGACATTTAGTCCGAGCTGGGAGGAGCAGCGATTTTGGTGAGAAAGTAGAGTGTGGGCCATGCTCCTCGCTGGCCCCTGATCTGGGCTGTGCGCTCTGATATCATTCGAGGGCCCTGGTCAGCTCTCCCCACCCCACCACAGGCCACCAGGGGCCTGACCGGCCACAGCCTGGGCCTCTGCCTGGCTGAGTGCGGGCCTGAGGTTAAGCTCTGGGTTCAGCTCCTTCGTCTCGAAGCCTCGGAGGCCCACTCTGCAGTCTGGGTCCACATTTTTCAAGGCCGTTCTCTGCGAAACAGCACTCGGCTCCTGTTTTTACTATCGCATCTCAATGCTAGAAGGAAAATGGCACATGACACATCCAGATACAAACGGACATTCCACAGACATCTTGTGAAACCGACTCGGGAAATGGCATCTCTCTCCGGGCACTTAGCCAGCTACCCAGCCCCGTCCTCGGCCCAGGCGCCTGCGGGCCCGGAGCAGCCTCCTCTGTAGATCCAGGCTGGCCACGTGGTCAGGAACTTTTGGACACATTTTTCGAAGCATGTAGTTACAAAATGAGTTGGGTTTTTTTTTTTGTTTTGTTTGTTTGTTTTGCATTTGAACAACAACAGAAATAAAGCCCCAAAGCAAATAAAGTTTGAAATGTGATGTGAATCCCGGTCCTGGGACCGTGCGAGAGTGACCATGTCTCTCAGGAAACGGCAAATGCCCTTTCCGAGCAGTTTGGGGGTGAGGTGAGCAGGGGCGTATCGGGCCAGAGGTGACAGCACTGAGGTAGCACCCAAGCTGGTTGCCTTTTGACCCCTTGAGGTGCTTTTAGGTAGAAACTTTGTAAAGGCAGTTTTACAAAGGACTTAGAAGGACTTAGACAATCTACTTTGAGTTTAAAAAAAATTTATTTGTAGCATGTTCTTTTCAGAGCACGTGGTGCCTCTGAGGCAGAAAGAACAGAGAAATTGCCTCTGAGGCCAAGCAACCAGATCCTTGGACACCAGCCAGGCTCCGGTGCGAAGCGGGGGGCCGCTAGCATGCGGCCATCCACTCCCTGGGCGGAAGAATCAGGACGGGGTGGTGGAGGGGCAGACGGTGTAAAAGTGGCCATGCAGGAGAAAGGAGACGAAAGCAGGCATTTTCTGTCCCCACTGGGTCTGCCTGGCCGGCATGCAGGAGGACCGCGGGGAGAGGACTTGGCAATGAGCTAATTATGCAGCCTTTTGGACAGGCATCTGCATAATCCCGCCTCATAGAGACGCTGCAAACCGCTGAGGACATTTGGGTTCCGGGACATGGTCAGTCTCATCAGCAAATAAACATGGATGCGACGTGGCAATGAAAAGTATGTCACCATGATGGCCGTCGAAGCTCGAACGACAGAAACGAAGGACCGAGGTCTACACATCTACTTAGCTCTTGACTTCAGCTTTTAAAAATTCAGAGTTAACAAAGGAAAATCCTTCGAATTCTGACTGGTCAATATTCCTGATGACTTCCTGGTCGGGAGGTGTGAGGACGGGTGGATGGCGGGTGAAAAACCGGTCGAAGTTCTCAGCATTGCGCCCGCACTATGAGGGGAAGAAAAGGACTTGTGGTGGGTGAAACAACACAAAGCAGGAAAACAAAACCGGATGTGGGTCTCTCCGTCCCTTCCCGTCACCACCTCACAGAGGCTGTCTCAATGACCAGAAACGAGAGCAACAGAAAATGCAGAATTCTCATGACCTTCAGGAATGCCCTTGGGCTCCTGACCTTCAGTTTCTGTAGCTGGTGAGCTGCCGCGGAGTCCTCCGGGCAGTCAGGAGCTTGTGGCGGAAGCGTGAGATGGCAGGGCTGCAGGCATGAGCCATGTTTCTCATCACCACCCCCCCCCCCCACCAGCCAGCCAGGCTCATCTATGGAAAGAGATGAATTAAGGCACCGGAGATGTTTTATGTGGCAAAGGCTGCAAATGGCTGGCTCATACGTCACCAGGAGATGTCAATAATTCGCAGCAGGTCCCTCAGAGTGCGGTCCAAAGGTTCTCAATCAGGGACAACGGACATCCCCTAGCCCAGCAGGTATCGGAGTTTACCAGCTCCAGCCAACAGAGACCAATCCCACCCCTGGGTGTGGTGCCCACAGCCTGGCCCCCACGGGGCCCTGGTCTGTTGCCAGGAGTAGCAGCCATCTCTCTCTGCCGGAAGGGAGGGTGTGTGTGTGTGAGTGGGGGGGAATACAAACCAGAGCTTGGTGAGACTCTAGAGAGAAAACCATCGCCTTTTCTCACCCACCCCGCAGTCCTTCTATGTGCAAAGGTCCCGGTCCGAGGCAGTTATAGCACGTGTGTGTGCATGTGGAATAACACATGCTAGTTCCCCCCTAATGAGAAGGGAGAAGTCACTAAATCTGATGTTTGTTCAGCAGCAACCCCATTTGCATGTTGGCTCAAGCCACGTAGCCCCAGCCTGGAACACAGCGGTGGCAGCAGTTGAATTATGACAGCTAACATCCGCTATGCCCTCACTCTGTGCCAGACCTAGAACCCTCTTTACATGCAGGATCTTATTAACTTCCCAGTGACGCTACGAGGCAAGTTGGGTGTCCTGCTCTGAGCCAGAGGAGCCATGGAGGCCAGGCACACCGCAGCGCGGAGCAGAGCTGCCATGCGCCCGGTCTGCCTGCCTCAGAGCCCACCTTCGGCTCCATTTTACAAGAACGGCCGACAGGTGGGGTGGTGGTGGGGTGGGGAGGAGGGAGGAGAAGTCGGGTGATGAGGTCTCTGGTTTGAATGAGAGAGGAAGGGAAGGTCAGAAGGAGGGCATTTCTGTTTGGGACGCGGTGCAGGGAGGCTCTGGGAGATGAGGGGTTGGAAGTACAGGTGCTGGGGGCAGGAGGGAGGTCCTGGAGAGAAGTTTTCAAAGAGAGAAAAGGGAGGGTGCGGAGGAAGAAACCGGAGCAGTCTCCAGGACAGGCCCTGGCACTGTGGGTGCTGTGCTCACACTGCCTTTCGCACACATCGCAGCCTGGGTTAGGTATTTGGTTCGCGAATCTGTGGGAAACTGCCCCTAACGCAGGGGGGTGGAGCAGAACCAGGAGGGAGACCAGGCAGGCTGGGGGACGAGAGGAAGGACGACAAAGGGCATTGCTGTGGCAGAAACACCTCCGAGAGGCCAAGCTGGGAGGCCCTGACCAGCCCCTGCATCTGGCGGCAGGAGGCGTCCCTGCATCTGGGAAGGGGGGGGGGGGGGAGGCGCAGGCAGCTGCCCACCTCCGGAAAAGGAGGGAGCTGAGCAGGATGGAGGGCAAGCTCCTGTCAAGCACTCCAGTCGGAGCAGAGGTACGTGTGCATGTGCAGGGACTGAGCTCGGCAAGGCTCCGTGGGGTTTGGGAAGAAGGAGGCCATGCAGACATGGGTGCGAATCCAGGTACCGGGCCACTAGCTGTGCAACTCCAGGCGTGTCCTTTAAAGGGAACCAGACCACCTCATTCGGCTCACAGGGGTGTGAGGCGGTGAGGGGAGACGATGCGCGTCCCCCGCGCCGTAAGCTCTGGTCTTCTGTGCCCACTGCAGTCCCTCCGGGGAGACACGCGCTGCACGGGCACCTCCAGGACGGAGTTATGAGGAAACAGTCATCACTCCCAAAGGCTGCGTCAGACTGAGAGGGTGTTATCCCGAGCTCACTCTCCCGCTTTCCGTACCTTGGCTTCAGTCCTCAGAAAATGAGAAGTGACCCGCCACCCCACCATAGGATGAGATCTAAGGGATGGTGTGCCGGCCGGTGGGGGAAACGCCAACACAGAGATGGGCCCCAGAGTCGGAGCAGTGTGGGCACAACTCTCTTTATCCATTTTCTCAGCCAAGAAATATTTACTGAGCATCGACTATGTGCTGATCATAAACTATACAAAATCCCTACCTTGTGGGCCTTATATTCTACTACAGGGCGGAGCGGGGAGAGGGAGACAACCAATAGATGGATAGATGATTGTAAATAAGTGTTTTAATGCTAGAAAGAGGTAAGTAATACTAAGAAAACTAAAGCCAGATCCAAGATGAAGAGGGAAGACAATGCCATTTCGACAATGCCCGAGGACGTGAGCTGTGCCCGAGCCTCAGTGACGGGAGGGAGGATTCCCTGGACGTGGGGAGGAAAAGCATTCCAGGCAGAAGGAACTGCAGGTGCAAAGGCCCAGAGGCAGGAGTTCCCACGGCAGAGCCACCACACAGCAAGGAGGCCAGCGGGCCAGGCCAGGGGGCCAGGGGAGGGCTCGGAGAGGGCGCTAGGAGCCAGGCCCTGGATCTCGCCGGCCACGAGGACAGAGGGTTTTACGCCCTGGAGGCCCCTGAGCACTGCCCGCGGGGAGGGCGGGGGGACAGCGAGGCGGTGAGGAGCTGCTGCAGCGATGCGGACAGGAGACGCGGCAGCTGAGGCGGGTGGTCGTGGGGTGCCGGGAGGTGCATGAGGTTTGGGGACCTGCTCTGAACTTGGAGGTCACAATGTCTGCTGATGGGTTGGATGTGGATGAGAGAGAGAGAGGACTGGTCAGTGACCCCAAGACTTTTGGTCGGAGCTCCTCAGTGAGGGGCACACGAGGGGCAGAGCATGGCTGGGGGGAGAGCGAGCTTGAGTTGCATTAAGGTGAAGTCTGAGTCCGTGGAGACGTGACAGCAAGAGGATCCCCACGGCTGTCGGGGCTACAGGGAGCAGGAGCGGGACTGATGGCAGAGGCGCAGAGGCAGGAACCCGACACCCTCCCCAGGAGAGAGGTGGTGGCGGGAGTGGTGGGGAGGGAGGGGCAGAGGGGATGAGATGCCCACAGGGGTCAGGGGCAGAGATGGCAAGTTAAAAGGCAGACAGGCCTGCAGTGTTTCTCTTGGCCTGTCTTGGAAGCATGTTCACTGAGACACAGAGTCTTCAGGGGCCATTTTTCTTTAAAAACCATCCATTTCCCATCGAAAGCAGAAGGCTGCTGCTTTGCTGGGTCCCTCAGAGGGTGTGATGGGAAACAGGAAACAGCTGCTGGCCGCTGGACGGCCTCCTCGCCATCGCTGCCCGCGGCCTCCGAGGGCAATGGCATCCTTTCAGGGAGGCCGCAGGGAAGAGGCAAGGACCGGGCAGGCCGGGGCACCATGCAGGGTGCGTGATGTCCCTGCTGATACACAGCTCGGGGCTGGCAGATCACAGCCCCCCGAGTGCTGCCGTGGTCTGGAATGGAGCTGTCACTGCCTGTTAGGAGCTCCTATCGGAGACGGCGCCCTCCGGAGGCACAGCTGGTCGGTCGCTCTGCCCGCTGGGTCCAAGCACAAGGGCAGAGTGGACACACCTGCTTCCTGCTCCTGGCGGGAACGCCATGCCTGCTTCACCCCCCAACAAACCCCAGATGCAGCCCCGGGGCTCCTGAGCAGCGAGGGGGCCAGAGCGGGTTACGTAAACAGATGGCGCTCCTCGGGGGGAGAGGAAGCGAGGATTGCGACTTGTTCGATCGTGCCGCCCCGAGTTTGAGAACCTAGACAGCTTGAAACATTTGTCTGTGAGCTGCTCCACGTGACCATTTTTCTTCTTCTCCGATTCTCTCTAATTTCTGTTTCATTGTGTTAATAACAGCTCTGCGTCTAGCTGTCAAACGAGGAGTTGGCAAAGGCCCAGCAGCCACGGGATCTTTCAGACTCCAGCCTGGATATGTCACCGCTTCCATCAGTGGGAGCCGCCGCTGCCTGAGGCCCACACTCCTGAGCGGGACTGCCGGGACGCTCAGGACCTAGCTTGGCCATCCGTGTGTGTGTGTGTGTGTGTGTGTGTGTGTGTGTGTGTCCCACACCCTCCTCAGCTGTAAGGAACTGCCAGCGCCAGGAGCCCTCCCTCACACACCCTCTCTCCTCCAAGCCTTTGCCGGGCTGTCTCCTCCCAGGAGCAGGGCCTCTGACCCCAGCTGTCTCCTAGGCAACCTCGCTGCCTCCAGCAGGGGGTGCTTTCTCCAGGAGGCCTTTCCTGGACCCTCCTCGACTCCTGGGCTTACCCATCAAGACAAAAGATGCTCACCAAGTAACTGTTAGAAAGGGGAGAAGATTGGAAATCAACTATCAACTGATAGGGAATAAGCTTAAATAAATAATGACATGTCTATTTGATGCATGACCATGCAAAACCCTTTTAAACATTAGAAGATAGAAGAATATTAAATGGAATCGCTCCATATAACTAACTAATTACAGTGCATACAATATGTTCCCTTTCTGTAAATTATGTACACAAACGTGTGTGTAATATCTGTATGCATGTCATATACACGCTCACGGAGACTGGGAGATTCCAGATTGGTTCATTTTCTCCTTCATCTTTTACTAGAGGCTCAGTGCACAGAATTCATGCACAGGCAGGGTCTCTAGTGGCTGCTGGCTGCTGGCTGCTGGCAGCTCTGTGCTCTAGTGAAGTGGAATCATTTCACAGAGCCTGGCTGACCCACGTTATTGTTTTTGCAGTAGGTAGAGTTATTAATAACACACACGGAGCACTCGTTTTCTGTCCTGGTTCTGCTGTTCCCTGTGTAAGCCCGGCCCTGTGCTGAGTGCTCCCAGTCACTCTCA